TCACCACAGCGGCGAGGGATCTCTGGCAGCGTGTCCCTCCTTCCTCCCGGGTTTCGGCACCAATGTAACGTACGTTCGTAGGTCGGGAAGGAGGCGGGAACCGGTGAACATTAAAGATTTTAATAATAAAATAACCAAACACAAAATAGCGCGACAGCCCCTCGCGGACGACTGTCGCGCAGAAACAAAACCAAAACACAAAATAAACTCCAGGCCTGGTCCTCTCTCGTCTTTCACTGTTGTCCCTCCTCCTTTTTATCCTTCCGGAGCTCCTCCGTGAGACTCGAGACCGGTGAGTGGCGCAGGTGTCGCGCATTAGCAATTACTCCACCGGCCTCGCTCCGTTCCCACGGCTCTCGGCCCCGCCCCTCTCGTCACACGCACCATCGTTAAAACAATTACGATATTTTCGCAAACGATATACAGTTTATCACACACCCCTATAACAAAGGCTATATCACAAATAAAGGCAGCTATTATTGATTTTGGAATTGACACTTTCAAGTTACTTGTCCGATTAGGCAAGTAAATTTCTCTTTTACTTGCCCGTCCAAAACATTCACAAGCGGTAATCTCAAGCCCTGCAATGTTATATCGGTATACCTTTTCCTGAGAAATTAGATGAAAAATACTACTAGCTAGCGATGACACTAGCAGTGTTTGTGAACTGTTGTTGTGCATCTCCTCTACCTCATGTGTGTGGAACTGGTCTTTGACCTCCTCCACGTCGTCGGACACGTCGTCCTGCATGTGCAGCATGTCTTCGGCCGACAGCAGCCAGGTGAGAACCTCCTCCAGAGTGATCTGATACGTGTCCAGACTGACCTCCGTCAGTGTGCTGGGTGTCTCTGGCCGTGTGTTGCTCACCTCCTCCGTCTCTGCAGCCAACCCCTGCACAGAAACACACAGCGCTTCAGCTAACGGCATCTCAGTATTCTATATAACCTTATAGAAAACGTTAAGCACTATGTGTTTTATGAAGACTTGTTAAACATGTTTGCGCTCATGTTCAAAACGCAAATTCACAAAGGACCAATGACTTCAGTCTGACATGTTATACGTCACAGTAGGGCTGCACGATAAATCGAAATGGAATCGAGATTGCGATTCGACAGAAGCTGCGATTGGCATGCGTATCTTTCAGTGAAGCACGGTTCTGTGATCAGCAGTAAATCTCCATCCGAAGGCCAGAGGGCGCTCTCGCGCTGAAACTCCAAATACGCCTCGCAGAAGAAACTCAGAAAATGCCTATCGCTGCAGCTGAATAAACAGAAGATTCAACTGCTTTCATTGATTCAACGTGACTAATAAACACACGACTACG